TCAGTTCCTTGAGCTTGAGAAATTCTCAGCATGTTTTGATTTTCCAGCTCCAGATTTTTGTGTGCTTCATTCATAATTGCAAAAGTTGGTAGCACCAACCATCCTTCCCCCAACACTCTCTGCTTCGCTGCTGGGTTCGATAAATAATTCATTGAAATGGCCATACAGGACTCAGACACCATACTGAGAAATATGAGGTTTAATAGAGAAATTAACAGGTTACAGTGTGGGTTCAGAAACGCTCAGGGCATACTTGTTCCAGTCAGTTGTTGTTAAATGCCCATAGGGTATTCTATTGCACTGTAAGCCACAGACTGAAGGCACTCAGCTCTAGCTCCATGGGTCAGCAAACACTTAAGTACCTAGAGGCACCCCTCTCTACAAGCAAGTTTCCCATCAAAAGTCACCTGGCTTTACTTGCTCTGTGGGCTGGGAAGTCCACTGCTCTGTCTCGTGCTCTGGTTCTTGGTTCCGCTGCTGCTGCTGCTCCTCTGCCTCACAGCTTTCCATTCCTGGGTCAAGGAGATTCAAAGTGCAATGATGTGTCCAAAGGATGTGTTCCACTTCTGGTTCTTTCTCTTTGATGCTAGTGAGATCCTCTTGCTTCTGAGATGGCTCATTTTAAACCCATGCTAGGTAGATCATTTGTCCATTTTAATTAATTAATTTGTATTGTTGAGTTGTAAGAATTTTGTATGTATGAGGGACTTCAAAAAGTTTGTGAAAAAATGGAATTAAAGATAATGGAATGTTTCTATGAATTTTCTGAAGTTGCTTCTCACCCCTAGCCCTCCAATGTTGTATTCTAGAAATGAGTAACTTATCAAACACATGATTTACAAATATTTTCTCCCATTTTATGGATTGTCTTTTGACTTTGTTGATGGTGTCTTCTGAAGCACAAACTTACTTTTTGTGTGTGTGTGTTAAATGTATGGATAACAGTATTTTTCATTTCAACAGTCTTTACATGTACACTTCAGTGACATTAAATATGTTCATCATGCTGTTCAGCCATCACCAGTCCTAATTTTTCCATTATCCTTAACCAGAAGCACTGTGTCTTCCTCTGTTTTTTTTAAAGTTTTTTATTTTGTTTATGTCCAATTTGTCTATTTTTTCTTTTGTTACTTTTGTTACATCTAAGAGAAGCCCCAAACCCAAAATTACTGTCAAGTTGATTCTAACTCATAGTGACCTGATAGCCCATAGGGTTTCCAAGTCTGTAAATCTTGACAAAAGTAGATGGCCACATCTGTCTCTCACAGAGCAGTTGGTGGATTTGAGTTTCTGATCTTTTGATCAGCAATCAAGTGCTTAGCCACTGCACCACCAGGGTCCCTTAGCTAAATCTAAGGTCATTAAAATCTGTATCAGTTTTTCTTTTTAAAGAATTTATAGTTTTAGTGTCTACATGTAAGTCTGTAATCCATTTTGAATTATTTTTTGTTTGGCATGAGGAAGGGGTTCTCAGTCTTCATTCCTTCACATGTGAGTGTCCAGTTGTCCTAGTCTGTCCATCGCTATTGTTGTTGTCATGGAACCCTTTCAAAAATCAATTGACTTTAAATGTAAGGACTTATTTAGTACTTCCAAGTCTATTCCATTGATCTATATGTCTGTCCTTATACGGTCCCAAAAGGCCCTGTAGTTGAGTGTTGAGCTGTTAATCCAAAAGTTGGCAATTTGAACCTGTAAGCTCTCCAGAGAAGAGCTTTGGCAAAAGGAGAAAGAAATGGTGAGCGCAGTCTGCTTTCATAAAAACGATAGCTTTAGAAACTTTATGGGAGCAGTTTGACTCTGTCGAACTCTGTGGCAGTGGGTTTGACTTTTTGGGTTTAAGCCAGTACTACCCTCACTGTGAGTCGGAACCGACTCCATGGCACATAACAACAACAACACTGTTTTGATTACTGTAGCTTTGTAGGAAGTTTTGAAATTGGGAAGTAAGAGTCCTATAACTTTATTCTTAATTTTCAAAGTTGTTTTGGTTTATTTGGGTCCTCTGCATTTCCATTTCCACATGAATTTTAAGATCAGGTTTGTCAATTTTTACAAAAATAGCTGGGATTTTGATAGGGATTGTATTTAAATTGAAGTTTATCTCGAGAGTATTACTACTTTAATAATACGTAAGTCCTGCTTTCCATATACATGAGATGTCTTTTAATTATTTAGATCTTGAATATTTTTACAATGATCTATGAACAAGCTTTGTACTGTTTTTGATTAAATTTATTCCAAAGTTGTTTTTTCTTCTTTGGTGCTATTGTAAAAGGAATTGCCTTCTTTATCTTGTTTTTAGATTGTTTATTACTAGTGTTTAAAAATAAAATTGATTTTTGTGTACTGATCTTATATCCGTAGCCTTGAAGAAATTATTTGTTGTTCTAATAGGTTGTTTTCATTGTTTTGGTGGCATTCCTAGGATTTTCTGTATACAAGACTGTCACCTGTGAACAGTTCATTTTACTTCTTCCTTTCTAATCTGAATGCCTTTTATTTATTTTTCTTGACTAATTTTTCTGGCTAGAACCTCTAATACAATGTTGAATAGACTTGAGAACAGACACCTTTGTGTTATTCCTGATCAAGTTCATTTTTTGAACCTAGCTTTTAGAGTAGATATATTGTTTGCTTGATATAGTTTCATATCCAACCTTTTTTGTATTTTATTGTTGTTGTTCATAAAAGTAGACCAGTTGGATTTCATGGAGAAGTCCTTAAGCCATTGATTTTCACCATTTTCTTACTTGTGTAAACTGTATTTTCGATACCCCATATGTGAAGTTATTGCCTGCTTCAGAATTGAATCAGTCAGTTGTACAATTTCAATTTCCGTGTTCAGCGTGTTTATTATATAATAATGTAAAGTTTAATCATTTAGTGTATTTTGTGGTTATATATAAGAAGCCCTGCTGGTTCAATGGGTAGATACTTGGCTGCTAGCCAGAAGGTTAGTGGATTGAACCTACTGGCAGTTCTGCTGTAGAAAAGACCTGGTGATCTTCTCCCATAAGTATCGCAGCCTAGGAAACCCTGTGGGGTAGTTCTTCTCAGTCACATGAGGTTGACATGAGTTGAAAACAACTTGATATCACTTAACAGCAACAACATATTTATGTCCAATATTAGGTGTAATGTTTAAATGATACAGTTTAAAACTCTTTTACCTACAGGAAT